CTGATGCCGGAGCTCACGCCGTCAGGGCGTGGGGAGACAAAGACACAGCAAAATCTTGTACGTTCCCAAAGACAGGAAAATCCTTCCAGAAGATGGAGCGTGAGGGTGGAGAGGGGTGCGTGAGGTGCTGCAGCCCCAGTGACTCGGGAGTCCGGTGCGGGACCACCGGCAGCAGCGGGTCTCGCTGACGCTTTCCCATCGCCATTGCTTGGGTTTCAGGGGTTTGGGTTTTTTTTCAGGATTTTCTTTCTGGCTGGGTGTTTTGCAGAACACAGAGAAGGTGTGTGCCAGCAAGTGACAGCCGCTAGGTCTCTTTCCAAATTGCTCCCATCGTATTTCACCTCCCCAGTCATCAAGGCTCAGAGGCAGAAAGTGAGAGTGAGGAATGGAGTCCATCTATCCGGTGGCGGGCTGTCACGCTTCAATGATATTCACTGAGGGCTTGTTTTTTGGGAACTGGAAGAGAAGAGGAGACAAAGGATGTGTAGGGATCACTAGAGAGGAAAAAACCGCATCAGAGATGGGTGCAGCGTGCTGGTCAGTTTTTGGTTTCGTAGAGTTCTCGCTCCCATCCCCTCGGGATAAGAAGTTGAGGCTTTGGGGTTGCACGGTGCGTCACCGTCGGCCGCTGAAAGAGCGTGAATGCCAGTAACAAGAGCGTGTGAGGTGGTGGGGATGCGCCAGGGCGCAAGTTGCAAAGGGAAGGACAAGGAGGTTAAATTAACTCAACTAAGTCTGTGTCCCCTTTACCATGTGCCACCCAAGGGCTGCTGGGGGCGGGGGGGCAGGACCTGGGCAGCTCGGGGGCTGCGGCGCCGCTCTGTGCGTTTTGCTTCCAGAGCCGTTCAGCTGTTTGAGAAATCCGGGTTGAAATGTGTTTTAGGGGGGGAGGCGCCCCGAGGTGGGAGTGAAGTGCAGGTGTCGGGATGCTGGGAGCGCTAAGGAAGCCGCGGTGCTGGCGCGTGGGTGCGAGGGGTGATTCCTTCCAGCACCCCGGCTGGAGGGAGGGGGCTGCAGTGAGGATGCTCAGCAGGGGCTGCTTTTTGGGTAATTTAGCCGAGGCCCGGCTGGTATCTGAGTCTCCCCGCGCCGGCAGCGTCTCCCCTTGCTGCGGAGCAGCCCTCCGCTCTGGTGCTCGGGAGTGCTGTTCTCCGAGGCGCTCTTGGCTTTCTCCTTGCTGTTATTTGGCTCGTTATCTTTGATGATATCGTACTGTCTGCAAAACAGGGCGATCACCCCTAACGGGAAAAAGCGTTAGTCATCACGCAAACGAGCTGAGCCCCTGGAGCCTGCGGAGGTCAGGGGTCCCTCCGGCCAGCCAGCTTTCTGCCTCCTGGTAGAGGTCGTGCTTCTAAGGACCACTTTCTAACAGTCAGCCCTCCACCGTGATGCCTACGTCCGGGCAAAACTAGTTAGAAGGACGGGAGATTAGTTATATTCCAACTTCCCTGCCATTAAAGGGGAAGCGTGGTTTAAGCCTGACACGAGGTGTTGGTACGAGCTGCCCCCGGTGTTAGCGAACACCCCGGGCCAGGGTCTTTCCTGCATCCGTGACCCAACGGCTGATGCTGGGAGAACAGGGCAACATCTGCCCAGTCCCACCTTCTGGGATGTAACATCTGCCCAGTTGTGGGATTTCTGATGGTGAAACCAAGGCACAAAGCAGCCGAGAGCTGGAAGAACACCCAGAAAATTAGACAGAGAAGGGCTGGGGTCTTGTCTCAGCCCAGACCCTGAGCAGACCCGTTCCAGTTCCCATCTGCTAAAATATGAGGCTGTGGCCAGGTTAAGAGCTGGAAAGGGGGTTCTGTGCACTGAGACTTTGTGAGGAACCCACCAGATGATGAGATTTCCCCCCACACTTTCCTTTCGAAATGTGTTTATCTAGAAGGGAAATCGTGGTGTTAGCGGATCCCCTGTTCTGAGGCTGCTCTCAGCCTCTGATTGCAGCCAGTGGGAGTTGTTCCTCACCTCCTGTAATTATCCATGGTGGCTTACTGGCAGGGCGTTTAGATTTGAACGTGGGCAGCTGAAAGGAGACATAAATACTGAAAAGACCATGGGGTGGGGGTTTGGGAAACCTTTTGTTCAGGTTTTCACTGGGTTATAAACTTCAGCAATAATTGTTCTTTTGTGACAGATCTCGGATCAGCGACCGGTTTCCTCTTCACATCTCTCCCTGGAGATATTTCAGCAGAATCTGGTGTAAAGGGGCCAACTCCTCTGTTGGAGTAAGCTGGTGCAAGCCCTGTCCGGCCAGGTTGGATGCGGAGGTGACGGGCATCGAGGCTGTAACGTCACTCACCACTGAAACTGAAGGTCCTCAAATCATAGAATCCCAGACTGGTTTGGGTTGGAAGGGACCTTAAAGACCATCCAGTTCCAACCCCCCTGCCATGGGCAGGGACACCTTCCACTAGACCAGGTTGCTCCAAGCCTCATCCAGCCTGGCCTTGAAGACATCCAGGGATGGGGCATCCACAACATCTCTGGGCAGCCTGTCCCAGGGCCTCACCACCCCCTCTGGGAAGAATTTCTTCCTGATATCCAATCTAAACCTCTAAACGGCCGAGGCGGTGGCGGTTCCCTGTGCGGCTGCTGACGCGCTGCGCGTGCAACTGTGGTTTCACTGCCACGAGAGGACTAAGCGTGGGGGGAGAAGGTTGTCTCTTCTGGGTCGTGGGTTTGCCATGGCGCTAAGCTCCCTTCCTGCCCACCTCCCTGGGTCACCCGAGCCACCCCCCCGGGGGCAGCATGCTCCGGGCGCAGGGCACAAGCGCGGTTTCGGTAATGTTTCCGTAGCCGACCGGCAGCCGGGGGCTCGGCATAGAAAACCAACACGTGCAAACCTTATTTCCCGTGAACTCGTGTGTGACTTCCCAACCGAACAGGCCGCGCTCCAGACCTGCGGAGCTGACGGAGGCATTTTCCTCTCCCTGTTCGCCAGCGTAAAACACCCACGAGGTCTGTCCTAGGTGCAGTTTGGTTTAAGCTTTACTGAAATGTGGCCCCAAACTCACGTCGGGAAACTCTCCCTTTGGAAATGTCATGTGTATGTTTGTACGTGTTACGGAAAGTCACCGTCAGGGATTTTGCACCCTTTGGGACAGCAGCTTCCAGGTAGTGCTAGTCACCTTCCTCCTCCCGCTATCCCAAGCTCCTGTAAGCCCTTCCTCCCTTCTGTTTAATAGGATTCTGCTTACGTCCCTCCTCCTCCTCCTATTAAACACCGTTCTTTGTGCTTTAATAGTGGTTGTTGCGACAATCTGGGTTCACTGGTGTTTTGGTGTTTGGGGCCGTTTGTTCTTTCAACACTCCCACTGTTTTAATTGATTTTTACGTGGGTTTTGGTGTATACGTGACAGTGGGTGTTGAGAGCAAGACTTTTGAAATTCCTGTTTTGCATGGAAGTTGGAGCCAGATAATTACAGCCACCTGCCTCACTGGAAGGGCTGGAGGCAGGCTGGTGAATGGCTGGGGGCATTGTCATCAGTGCATTCTGGAAAAATGGAGATTATGAGATTAGCCATGGTGAATTAGGCACTTGATTCATCAATCCATTTTGTACTTCCTGCTGGACCAGATCCGGCCACGGATTCCCCTGCTTTCGGCACTGCCCCACTTGTGAGGCTGCAGAGGGAACAGAGGTGTGCTGACAGCTGGATGAGCAGGGGGAAGGGTTTCCTTTCGGGTTTCCCACCTCACACATGCCATCCCTAGGGATCTTAGGTGCTTTGACAGAAAGGTTGCACTGACCTGCCCACATAAACAACACCACAACAATGATGAGAATTTCCCCCGCTCGCAGCTGCTGGTTTTTCTTCGCCATCTCCTGCATTGTCACCTCATCTGCACAGGGGAGAGAGAGAGGGTGAAACCCAGCTGCCTGGCTCGGGCTGTGCCGGGCACCGGTTCACGGTGCCCTTGACTCCAACCGTCAGCGTGGAAGCTCCAGGGAGAGGGTCCTCGCCCGCCACTCGCACCAGCAGCACGACCTGCGCTTTGGGTTGGCAGAGCATCAGCTGCTCCGGAGCAACTGCCCTGGCAACCTGCAGGAGATGGAGCGAGGGAGCGGGACCAAGGGGCAGTGACCGAAGCAGAGCTTCCGTGGGGTAAGTCTGCGTTACGTGGGGCGAGGGAGGAGCAGGACCAAGGGGCAGTGACCCCAGCAGGGCTGCCGTGGGGTAAGTCTGCGTTACGTGGCCCTGGGGCGACGCGCTCTGCCCTGTCTCTGGTCACACAGCCTGGCAGGCTTCAGCAGCTCCTCTCCCAGCTCAGGAGTGTGGAGCCTGACAGGATATTTTCCAGTGGAGCCAGGGGATTTGGGAATGAGTAGAGCCTTTTTACAGGGCGTAATGCACCTCCGTGGCTTCAAAGCACTAAGATTACAGTTCAGGCCTCCCAGAAGGGAAGCAGTGCTGCTCTTAGTGCTTTCAGATGAACAGCAATTCAGTATTTACAGGCACCAAATCATTTTAGCAGCGAGAGTCAAGAACTCGCAGCATCCTAGGAAGCACAGCCAAAAGCCCTGCAACAGGCTGGGGGTAACCCCTCATATCCCGGACCCCTGTACTCCCCAGCCCTTTCTGTAGGGAGATTCGTGCTGAGAGAAAACCTTCAACAGTCCGGTTTGGCTTAAGGGGAACAAGTGCAGGAGCTGCCAGTGAGGAGGTGCCTGATTTCCTCCATGGAGATGCCGAAACCCAACTGAACAGGATCCTGGACCACCCGCTCTAGTCACTCTGCTGCAGCAAGGGTTTGGTGATCTCAGGAGGTCCCTCCCAGCCTCAGCTTTCTGTGATTTGGCAGAAATATTTGAAATGTGAGAAAAGTGGCTGTCTTGGGGTATATTTCCTCCTGATGTCCAGGAATCCAAGCACAGGAGGCTCAGCGAATTCCCAGAGAGCACTGTGATGGTGTGCCCGGTGCCACCCAGGGGTCTATTTCCACATGAATTCACAGGAATTTCCCCTGGCATCCTCCACTTGCAAGGCTGGTGGGCGCACAGCTCCTGGTCTGGGAACCTTCTCCTCCTCACCTTACCTGTTAAATCTCATCTGAAACAGGAGAAAGGGACAGCCGGCCATCGGCAGCGCCTCCCTATCGCTCTGCGCGCCCGGCAGCCTTGTCCGCGTACGCTCAGGGTGACCCACGCGGGGCTGTGAGAGGGCACTCAGCCCGGCTCTTCTCATCACCCAGGGTGCTGCTTTCCTCTCTGTAGAGCCCTGCGCTGCCTGGGCGTCCCAGGGGCCACGTAGGAACTCACCCACACTTGCCTTTATTTTTAGAGGCTAGTTTCTCAGCTTCCCTGGGGGTCTTGAAGAGGACTGGCTCACTGGCAGGGCTCTGGCCTTGGATGCTGATGGACTGGACATGCACAATGTACTCAGTGTCCTCCTCTAGGTCCCAGAGGGCACAGGAGCGGGTGGTGGTGTTCACCTCCTGGATGAAGCGCAGCATCCGCACGTCCTTCTTCTGGAAGCCGAGAGAGGAGAGCACAGAGTGGTGGAGGGATCCTCCCGTGTGCACTGCGGTCACCCAAGACCACTGCTTCCTGCCCTGTCCAGCGTGGACGTGGGGACCGTCGGACCCATTCCTCTCTGCAGCTTCCAAGAGGTGAAGCGCTGCTGCAAAGAGGACGGGAAGCCAAGTGTCCCCCTCCCCACCCCAGGCCAGGATGAGAAGGAATGGGCTTAAACGACCGAAACTGGGAAACTGTTGGCACCGTACCTGTTGGGAAACTGCAAATCCAATGACAACTTCGTCTTCCAGAACATCCCAAGTCACGACGGCTGAGTTGGCTTTCAGGTGTTTGACTGTGACGTTGACTGGAGCCGACGGGCTGTCTGGAAGGAGGGAGAGCAGAGCCTTTACAGGGGCACAGCCACGGCCACAGCAGGGCACAGAGCAAGGGGGCGGAACGACCTCGCTCGGGGTCCTTCCGGCGTACGCTTCGGGCTGTGGGAACGGGAGACGGCAGGTGTTCCATGGCTGAACTACAGAGAGGTTCTGGGGGAGCCCTGCCGAGAGTATCGGTTGCGTTCGACGCGTGGGAATAACTGACCCTTGTGCGGCCGAAGGAAAGGCTTCCCAGCACACACCACCGAGTAGCTCGTGCATCTCGTCCCTCCCGGCCACGTGCCACGTTTTCTCGGTTGTTTCCTGCGGTGGCAGCCGGGAGGGAATGCAAAATCTGCCTTGGAAGCAGGAAAACGGAATGCTTCGATGGGAGGTTTGAATTCAGGAGTAGTAAATGGGAGCGTTTCTCCTGCTTTTCCCTGTTAGCCTGACAGAAGGAAACTATTCGTGTTCTGGGCGGGTGGGCTGTATCTCGGGGGTCGGAGCAACAGCCGACCCCCAGCAACCGCCCCGACAGCCCACAGGGCCGGCCACGCTGCAGCAGCACCGGGGGAGAGTGGTGACTTGCAGAGGGCAAGCCGAGGCTCCGTGCTTATTCCCAACCCCAGAGCGCAGTCGGGTTTCCTGCTGCAGGATAGCGCTCCGGGCTTTGGGGAGCCGGAGCCTCTTCCCAAGGGAGCTGCCCGGTGCAAAGCCCTTCTTGGCGCCGCAGGGGCAAGGTTGTACCTTGCGGCTTGGCACAGGCTTTCCAGGGCTCCGGACTCCTGTTCCCTCAGCTCTGGTCAAATTTATCCCACACTCTCCGGCTCGAACCCAAAGGCAGTGAGTGAATGCCCACGAGGCTGCCGGGACTCCAGCTACCCCCTGGGTCAGCGGGGGGGGGGAGAAGGGGGCTTTCGGCCCCCCATCACAGCACGATGCTTTATTGCTCTGTAACCCTCGCACAAGGCTGCTCTCGTGGGGCTGAGCTCAGCGGTGGAAGAAGGACGCGTGTGTGCGCGTCTCCGCTAACACTTGCCGGATTTATAGCCAGCCCCGGCCGCCCAAACGTGGCCGAAAACATTCC